CGAGGTGATAAGGTGTCTTCAGGCCGAGGTGTTGAGTGCAAACTGGCCTGTTAAAATTTCGGCAACCTGACTGAGACTCACTTTGGCGACCTAAACGAGATGACTTGCGACACATGTAATCATCCTGGATGAGTCGGTGGCCAATAAACTACAGTCACCCTTGCGGGTCAAACCTTTCAAGGTTCATATGCGAGTTGGCAACCTATAATTAGTAGAACTGCCCTCGTAGGTTGAGCTCCCTGTGGATTATTGTAGTAGTAGACAACCAGTGTCTCCGAGGAATGACGCATTGCAACTGTGGCACCGGCCCGCTATTTAAACGCTAGCAGTGACACATGTATCACAAGGGGGCAAAAACTAAATGACCAGCTCAGGCAAGCTTCATTAGTTTGGCCTAAATTATTGATCAAGCTTTCCATGGCTCCCATGAGAGTGGAAAACTAACTAAATGTGGAGCCAACCTCACAGGGCGAACCTTTCGTGGTTCTCGTGAGAGTAGGCGGCTTATAAACAATAAAGTGACCCCCTCAAGGTGAGCCACCTATGGCTCTAGTAGGAGCAAGCAACCAGCAGTTCCAAGAGTAGGTGTAGTACATGTGCTGCATTGACCCGCGATTGCATACCCAAGAAGGTTACCCCCCATGATGGCAGAGATGCACCCGCGCTACTACAAAATGACCATCCACTTTGGTGAACTGGTGAAACTGCACTCTAAGGGTAAGCCAAAACTCTTTTAGCATTAAGGCCCCCTAAGCAACCAGCAGTTCCAAGAGTAGGTGTAGTACATGTGCTGCATTGACCCGCGATTGCATACCCAAGAAGGTTACCCCCCATGATGGCAGAGATGCACCCGCGCTACTACAAAATGACCATCCACTTTGGTGAACTGGTGAAACTGCACTCTAAGGGTAAGCCAAAACTCTTTTAGCATTAAGGCCCCCTAAGCCAACCTTGAAATGTGTTGGCAATAGATAGGATGACCTATGCATGTCAGCCCTTATATATCTAGCTCAACGTCATTTTAACAACTGAAATTATAACTGCTTCGGTGACCTGGATTGACGCTTATGAGCTCATCAAACTAGTCATTCCAGGCCAAAGGACCTACAACAAGCTACTCCCTTCACCATGCTGACCTCATCTTAGGAATGGGAGGCAATTGATGAGGGCAATTTTGGTCCTCCATTGACATCATGACACGTGGCATTTCAGAACAGTTGGATGACACCCCAACACCACGTAGGGAATGACTTGCCTTAGCCAAAATGATGGAGTCCCAACTATTTACCTATCTTTGCTAACCTGGCGACCTACCTTCGGAGACCTACTAGAGACCTTCCGACCTACCTCCGTCGGCTTGGCGACCTACCTCCGAAGTCTTAGTAACCTACCTCTGTCAATTTGACAACTTACCTCTTGAGACCTGGCAACCTATCTCCAAAGACTTGGTGGAAACCTAGCTGGCAACCTCGTACACAACTTGGACAACTTGGCAAAGCAGTTGGCAGCACTTCGTCCAAGACCGGCTTGTAGTACCTCATCATTACTAGGGACCTCAACATGAGGAGTGACCTCCTTGATGACTTGCTAACCTGATTGAGGTCTACGTGGCAACCTACGAGATGTGCTTGTCGACTTCTTCCTTAAGCAAGTTATTGTTTCCGACTTCTCTGGGACCATGACGCTTAACCGTTACACCTGTTTTGTCATATCATCTGCATCAGAGTTGATTGAACAAACTCTATCCCTCTCCTCCGAACATGGCGGGCACGGTTTCCCAAGAATCTCAGACATGTTACAAGAAGCTCCTGGTTCCTTATGCCTATATAAAGGTCTCATTTCCAACCTCAGAAGGTATGCGTAATTTAGTTCTCGTAGTCCTCTATCTCTCTCACTTTTAGCTCTCTCAAAAATCTCCAATTTGCTGACTTAAGCATCGGAGTGCTCACCCCGACTAAAGAAACCTGGGCACTCTAATATTGTTTCCCTATAGGTCTCTCTAGAGAAATACACAGCTCGCTATTCTACTTAGCTTGGTATCCAAGCCACCTCTTAGCTCGACCCTAGTCAGTTCGGCTTCCGAGTCACCTTCCAACTCAGCATTATTTAGCTAGGCATCCAAGTTACCTACTAGCAAGGAGCTGCCAAATCACACATCATTAGGTTTTACATCAGACTATCAAATACCAATTCTCCTGTGGGTTTCTCTAAAACTAGTCAGAATGTGATCGTAGGAAGCATAGAAATGTGTTTGGGCCCTCATACCAGTCAGTACCAATTATGAGGACTCTTACCAGTTTGAACTCTTGAGACATGAACCCTAAATAAATCCTCACAAAGTCAAATATGTCTTCAGTTTGAAACTAGGAATATAGCAAATAGGGCACTTTAAATCTGACGATCTTTCCTTTCATCCTCTCTCTCTCTCTCTCTCTCTCTCTCTCTCTCTCTCTCTCTCTCTCTCTCTCTCGTATTAGCAGTTTTCTCCTAGAGCTTCCAACTTCCAACTGAATCGGTTGCCCGCACTTGTAGCTCAGTGGAACCATGCAACTGCCCAGAGCAATTCTTCCTAAAATCCACTGCTAGAACAATGGCTATTCTGATTCATAAGGTGTCTTTTATTGAAGGATAATTTTGGTATTTTTAAAAGTTAAAAATTTCAAGTCACACATGTCATCACGTGATACAAATAACTGATGGACCACTAACTAAGGAACCGACTTGATAGTTCTTGAAAGTTAGGGTATTACAGTGACATGCTTTAAAGTTCGGGGTACTAACTTGAAACCATAGTTTTAAAAGGCTAAAGAGGCGAGGCGGCCAGATAAAGCCTTGCCTCATTAGCCTCTGTCTTCTTTGAAGCCTAAGCCTTGGAATGGCTGAGGCGCACGACTTCCGCCTTGCGCCTTATAACTTATGAGACGTGCACCTCAACCAGTTGCCCCTGCCAAATGGAAAATCAATGGAACTCAGAAATGCATTTTTTGTGGAGATACAATCCAAGAGAGAAATCATGATTCCTGAAATAAAAAACATATCTTTTATAAAACAGAACAAACATTTGTTCTTCATGAATGGCGGGTGAAGATATCCCTGGTCTTCTTCTTCATGCTCTACCTGATGGAGATTCACCTATAGAATTAACTAAAAAAATGAGAACATGAGACCAAACCTTTGTATCGGAAAAGATTGAAGATTGCTCATTTTATTTGGAAACCCATCGATCATGCCAACTGCGTTGGAATTCGGAAATCCATCCACCGCTCAATCCATGATAAACTGAAGCAATACTTTTTAGTTTTTGATTTTATGGGTGTACTTTTATGGAGATTTTCTTTAGGTTAAACTATTATGTTAAGCTTTAAAACTTGTCTTTCAAGTTATGAATTTCTTTTATGAATATTTTTTGGGTTTTAACTGTTCAGTCCATCCCTAGAAATCTTAGCTCCACCCTAGGTGGAATGAATTTTGACCGGTGCATTGATGCCAAATCCATAGTCATAGGAGGCTACTAGTAGAGTAGGAGGTGACTGTAATTTTAGATTTCTGACGGGGAGTATATTTTTTTAGTGGATGAAAAATTGACTGTTAAGTATTTCTATATTTTTAGATTTTGATGAAAATTTGGGTGACAAATGGTTGATAGTAAGCAAGTATGAATTAATTATACAAATAATATCAACACTTCAAAATACCCTCTAGAGGGTATTTTTGTTAACGACCATCATATTCTTTTAATTTTTTTGGTAAATAAGATAAATTACCTTTCTTCGATAAAAAAACCTATTCTTTAAAATTTTTAATCGAAACAAACAAATTACTTTTTTGAGTATTCTAATGAAACTTTGTCCACAACATGTATTCTAATGATGGACCTTAATTCTTTTTCTTTTTAGTTTCTACAATGGTTTTTCAGGATGTATAAATTGGCTAATAGTTTGGGGTCCGTTTGGTTTACATGAATAGAGGTCTAGAATTGAAATTACAATTACAACTGATTTGTTGGCAGAATTGGAATTTCATCTAAACCAATCAGAATTAATGATCCATTCAAATCTAATTCCCGATGGGTGGTTGGATGGATGCACATGCTTGTAGTGTGTATAAGGTTTTTGCTTTTAGGAGATTCTGTTATGGTCATTGGACCATTAATATTAGATGAACCAAATAAAATTACACAAAACTCCAATTTCATGTTTTATAATGCCTTTATTGATTATATCTATAATTTTTATCATTTTTACCTTGAGGCGTAAGCTTACGCTTCGCCTATCTAAGAATCAACTGCCTCACCTCTGCCCTTAGACTTTTAAAACATTGTTTGAAAAGTCCTTCAAAAATGTAAATTTGGACTCTTGTCCTATATTTATATTTAGATTTCTAGTAATTGCCCTTGATAATTCTAAGAAAAATTAGAATTCAGCTCGTAAACTTGCAACAGCTAGTGTAAATCATAAGTGAAGGGGGTACCTCTGTAGGCCCGCCAGATCTAGTCCAGTTTAGAGAAGTCCTCCTTCCGAAGGGTACAAGTACAATACGTATGGGAGATTGCCCCCCTGCAACTGCAAATGCTTCCACGTGGCAAAATGCTATTGATTAATTACAAAAAAATCTTATCACCTTAATAAAGATTTATTTATTGGTCAGTGGACTGAATCATAAATTTCTGTTATTTATTTTATTGACGTGATGAATTCATGAACCACTAAAAGGGTCATATACATTTCCAAAATCCGTTCGTCTGTCAACGTTACACGACTCCTCTCTGTCGCATCGTCAAAAGAAATTATTGGGGATGGTGAGATAGGACGATGAGCAGCACAGGGATTGTGAATGGTGGGATCGGGGGATTGAACGTCACCAACGTTGATCCACATAAAATTCTACGTCCAGAATACTCGTTTCAGCGCTGTTGGATGGGATTGGGAAACGGGAATGATCTTATAATTACTTTCCAAAACCCCGTTAACGTTCATCCTACGCTTGCGATTAGTAAGTGCAAGCAACCACAGAGATCCTCCATCTTGGATTTACTCTCACGGATGTTACCCTTCTTTCCCTTTATCTTTCGAGTTTCAACTCAGAGTCAGAGTGGGTGTTTTCTCTGTACTTAAAACTACACCAGCGACGTACATCTTCAGATCGCGAAAGTAGGATTTGCATTCTTCCTTTCCTTTGGCCCCCACTTTCTTTTCATATGTTTCTTATTATAATTATCACAAGAGATAGAGAAAACCACTTCACTGGAGACAATTGCTCCCTCTCTTCTTCCTCTCTGTCTCTGTATACGTGTAAGTGTTTTCCGATCAGCTCCTGGTGAATGAAATTCAGATCTTTTGATCATAACTTCAACAACAACGACAATGGTGCAAAAGGTATGAAATTGAAAACCCCTCATTTCTTTTTCTTCTCTTCTCATCTCATCTCACAAGGGGTAAAAGTAATCAGTAGTCCTCATTCTCTTTTCGGTGGTTGTGCTACAATTCCTTTTAATTTTGTTTCGCGTGTACAACTTTGAGTTCTCCCGGATCTAATAACGCAATTCAATTAACCCGAAAGGAAATGCTCGATCTCCAACACATGGGACTGCAAGAAAATTTAAGTTGATCAGGAAGGAAAAACAAGAAGCCATCAAATCATGGCCTCCATTCTTTTTATTTATTTGCTCAAATTAAAGCCTTTGGTTTAATTTCAGGTTTCAACAATTGTGCTGGAGGTTGACCTTGGATGCCCTCACTGCTATAAGAAAATCAAGAAAACACTCTGCAAATTCCCTGGTTAGCAATCTTTTTCTTGTTATCCCCTTGCATGCCTCTCTCTCTCTCTCTCTCTCTCTCTCTCTCTCGTTAGGGTTTAATTTGCCTTTATTTAATTGCATAACTAAGAAAATAAAAAAACACTAACATTGTTTGGGCGTCCCTTTCTTTCAATCTTTACCACACTAAAGAAATAAGAGACCAGGTATTCGATGAGAAGCAGAACAAGGTGACCATCATCGGTTACTTATGCTGCCCAGATAAATTCATCAGGAAGCTCTGCTGCAAGGCCGGAAAATGCATCAAAAGCTATGAGATCAAAGACGACGGCGACAAGCCTCCCAAAAAGGTCCTCCCACCGACACCCGCACCAGCTCCCAAACCACCCGAACCGGCTCCAAAACCACCCGAGCCGGCACCCCCCAAGCCACCAGAGCCGGCACCCCCCAAGCCACCAGAGCCGGCACCCCCCAAGCCACCGGAGCCGGCACCACCAAAGCCAGCAGAACCCGCACCAAAGCCACCGGAGCCGGCACCACCGGGCCCACCATTTGTGGTATGCTGTAGACCATGTTACGAGGGATACAGAGGAGGGCCATGCTACCATGGGTATGAGATGCCACCACCTCCACCTCCATGTTATGATGGTTGTGGTTGTGGTTGTGGTAGAGTGCCATACTACAGGGGTTATTATGTCAGTCGCTGTGATTACTTCAGTGAAGAAAATCATTCGTCATGTGTCATCATGTAATAATACTCCAGACAATTTCATGGGCTTTTTATATTATCGTCATTATTATAGTTGGGCCGGGTTTGATCATGTCATCTATAATAATCCAAGGTTGTAATGGATCTTTTATTCTATTGGGATATACATACATATATACTGTATATAGGGTTTGTTGTTTATATCATATGTCATATATGGAGTATGATTTCCAGGATCTATTATATATAATTGAAAAGTTTGTGATGATGAGCAGTTTCAGTAATCATTTTCAATCTTTTTTATTCATGCCTTTTAAAGGTGGTCTTTTTTTTTTCTCTTGAGTCCGGATCTACTCTTTACACAATGCGCTTTGTAATGCATCTTAGTCGCACATCAGGAATATCCCTCATACTTTATTTATTATTCATGCAGAGATTGTTTCCAATACATGTGAGATGTGACTGTGAGGCCGGTGAGCCGCATTTTGTGAGGAATAGATTGGTGGACTTTTTAGCTGCCACAGAGCCGAGGTAATATAGAATAGACTTAATCATCAATGGTCCCCATTGACGCACCAAGCTGGTGGAGATCCTGCCTTTTCGTTTTCCGATTTGAACCCGTGCCCTTCTATACCTTACGATCAATCCAACTTCAAAGTGTAATGGTCCAGCTGGTCGGTCGACTAAAAATTAAACTAATCTTTTCAATAAACAATCTCGCCTATGCCTATAGATGTAGGTATAGCTGTGAAAATTGATGTTTGATTACCATTCCACATGATGATGAATTGAGTTGGTTCAAACGCCTCTCTCAATCATCTCATCAAGCACTGGCCCCATTGCAATCGGTTTTTAGTCTACAATCCCCACCCCACTCCACCCCACCCCAAATTTGGATGCAGTTTTAGCTTTCCATTGACAGACACGCGTGAGTGTCAACAATTCCCTTTCAATACCGCAATGTTTCATCATCAACTTGATGCCTATGGTTTATCACCCTATCACTGGTTTGAATTAATGGCTGTAGGGAGGAGGGTCATGTTGAAGATAATGTGCTCACGTCCAACTCAGATCAGTTCAAGCTGCTCGCATAACTAATTGAATTAGTTTTGTTGTACAGCCTAACTAGGTATCTTTTATATCCACTAATCAATTAGAATAAAATTCTGAGTTCAGCTCTATTTAACTTATCTTCTTATTTATCATTTTAAATACAACAACCGAATCACTCAATATTAAGCATGATCGATTTTCTTCAAACTCCTCTTATCTTTCATGGTATCAGAGCCTCGTCAGTCTGAAACCATGTCTACTCAGTCCGGTGCAGTTGCATCAACCACTGCCCACCCATCTTCATCACCCTCTGCACTTGTGTTTTTGGAAACAGCAGTTTCCCAAACACCATCTTGGTAAAGATGGATGGTTATAACTATCTACTCTAGAAATTTCAAATACTTATAGCATTGGTGGAGCAGAACTAATGGGGTATGTAGATGGTTCTCTCACATGTCCTTCTCGGTACCTTTCCGATAACACTACACCCAATCCAGCTCATTCTTCATGGGTCAAAGAAGACCAAATCTTGCTGTACAAGTCGAGATGCTTGGTGGGTGTTGGAGAACTTATATGCATCCAAATCAAAGGCTCAGATTACCCAACTTCGAAACCAGCTTCTACTTGTCAAAAAGGATGGTGATTCCATACACGTTTACCTTCAGACAAATTATTGAAACAAGCCTTACCTTGCTGAATCATGCTTCTGTTCCGCGCGTTCATTGGGTTGAAGCTTTTGAGACTGCGGTGTATCTACCCAATCAACTGCCCACTCATGCTCTCCGTGGCAAGACTCCCTATGAAACACTTTTCGGTAAGATTGCATATTATAAATTTCTGAAAACCTTTGACTACTTATGTTTTCTATGTATTCGCCCTTACATGACTCACAAGCTGAACTATCGATCAAAACTATGTATTTTTATAGGCTACAACCCCCTTCATCATAATTATAGATGCTTGGATTTTGCAACTGGTCACTACTTCATCAGTGTGCAAGCCCAATTTAATGAAATTCCTTTCCTTTCAAAGACTCAAATTATTTATCAAATCCATCCACTTCAAATTCTGAGGGGCCCACAACACCCTTGGTGCCGCCGGTTTTACTGCCTTCATCGGTACATTATCTTCAACAATTTGATGGTGCATGGAGATATTTTATTTTATGTTGGAATGCACATATCGGTTAACTGGAGTGAAAGATATATAAGAACTTAAACTTTTGGATTATAAGTATTATACATTTATTGTATGTATACAAATATTAAATGGCCTTCGTTTGCTATGTTATACTTTATGTAAAAAGAAACAATTGAAAATCACAGTAAAAGCCTAAAGGGTGCTAATTAATGATGTGCAAAAACACCTCAACCATTAAAGCTAAAACCACTAAAACAAAGCGAAAGGGACAATTGAGACTTGTCACTGAGTGGTGCGTTCTTCATCTAACCATGTTTTAATTGTTTGGTTGGTTGCAGTCAAGGAATTGGCTCCTCCATCGAATTAACTTCCTATTTTTTTAGTCCAACTGTTGAGATAAAAGATTGACGACTCTAAAACCAAATGTTCACTTTTTTCTTTAGTTGCACACCACATGCACTCAGAAAATCTCGACACAACACACAAACCCAACTTATATTGGTTGGACCATCCGAGTTATATGGCCCAAACCAGGTTTTGTACATGCATTTTGAGTTGTACTTGTTTCTAGTCAACAAATTTGCAATTATAACGACCCATAGAACTCGTGGGTTCCACTCAACCACTTTGCAGTTTTAACCAATGTTTTAAAAATCAATTTTTGATATATAACATATATATTATAAATATTATTTTATGTTTAACTTATAATTATTTAATTCAATTTGTAATTTTTTATTTATAAAAAAATGTTAAAATTTATAATTTGATGCCCAAAAAAGGGTTTTTTTTTGGAAAAGTTAGCAAGGCAAATAGATGTTGGCCCTTCGGATGCATAGATCTCATAAAATTACAGAAAATAAAAAAAAATCGCCCCAATTAAATATTGGAGTGAAAAGTTATGGCCAAGTTTATAAATATTTTCTGACTAAACAATAGGTTTTAACAGAACTGGACACAAAATTAAGGCGGTGCAATGGTTTGAATGGTTCAACTGACTGAGTCAATAGCAGATTGAAAACACTAATCATCTCCTTGTACCAAGTTATCATTTTGTACTCTTTTTTTCCTCTGATGGATTTGTACTCCGTCTATTTGCCTTGCTGTATTTGAAACATTTCCCTTGGCGACGGGCGCTATCGAATTGCTCCAATTATAAAAAATTAAGAAGAAAAAGACATAGTTTAAAAACAAATAGGATTTCGCTTTTCACAAAGTAACAGAATTTCGCTCATTTAAGACTGGTCAGCCGGTGCAAAAAATTGGATTATATCTTGGGAGATCCCTTGGACTGATATCAGTCCCCAAACTAAAAATTAAGCTGACATGCTGTTGCTATGCTGATATGGCATTTAATTTCCATATCTTTCTACCCCCTTCAACTTTAACAAATCAATTCCTCTTACGGGTTGGTTCTGTTGATGGCCTTCTACATGCACAAGACCCATCTGGTTCTTGAGGATGGCGAGGTTCACAAGTGCTTTGAATTTGTAAGTCTTGAAGGTTCTTCCGAGCAGAGTGTCCAGTCTCTCAAAGACTGCCTCTTATTCGGCTTCCTCTCCGCAGATGATTTCTGAGACTCCGCATCTTCTCTTTCTTCCTTCATCGTAAGCAAAACGCTTGATGGTCCTTATAATCCGTGCCATTTCAGCGGATCCACGAGCTCCAGAGCCGCATCCTGTGCATCTGAGGACAAAGAAGTTGGATGGATGGCAAGCTCGATGCGACACTGGTTTTTCCAACAGAAGAAGTAGAGCAACTCATTGGAAGGGCTGGCAGAAGGCTTCCCGGTGAAATCAGGTTTTCCAGTGGAGTTGTCTCACCAGAACAAGGAGAACAAAAAGAACAAAGAGGGAGAGAAAGCGAGGCATAGAGAGTATCGAAGAAGGAAAGAGATGAGAGTTTGAGTGGAGGGAGACAGAATTATGGACACGTGTGTGTCATGCAACGAATTATTTTTTTTCACTGTGAGAATAGGAAAAGAACAATACAAGTTGTAGTTGTGGGATCTGAATCCGGGTCTCTAATCTAATGAGCCAATTATATATATATATATATATATATATATATTACATAACAAAGATAAAAATACAAATTTTATATGCACGAGTACAGCGCTGAACAAGAGCTGATGTTTTGTGGGATGGGTCCTTCAAGATTGTTATTTGCAAGATCTCTGGAACACGGCATGTACAAAGTCTCACTGGAATTAACCAATAATGAAAGACATAAAAAATACAAGGCATCGAAACAAGATGGAAGAGAAGCTTACAGTTCAAACAGTTGTTCCAATTTCCCAAGTTCTGCAGGAATTCCACCAACCAGCTCATTATCACTCAGCTGCCTGCACATAATGTGGATTATCAGCCCCTAAACAAGAGTATACTTTATCCACATGCAGAAAAATTATATAATGGAATGTACACTTACAAATAGCTAACTTTTGACATATTCCCCAGTTCTGGGGGAATTTTTCCAGTAAGCTTGTTTTCATGCAAGTACCTGTACGACATCACCCACCATGAAAACCAAGGAGATTTACATGTATTCTACTAAGGTCATTGAGCTCACAATTTCCCTGTGTGTGTAAGACAGATTGCCAAGTATTGGTGGAATTGGACCAACCAGTTCATTCTCACTTAAATCCCTGAAGAACAAAATGAAAAAGAGAAAGATAGAAACACCTTCACTATCAGAACTTTCTGACAAAAACAAATCATCAAAAGAACATGCCACTTACAGAATTGCAAGAGCCTGCATTAGACCAATAACTTCAGGAATCTTCCCTGTAAGCCTGTTACCTTGAAGTGACCTAACATGGGAAAAGACCAGCTTTAAAACACTGACGACAGGACCACAAACACAAGTATTAACACCAAAAAGAATTGGAGTAAGGCATACAAGGTGGCCACTTGCAAGAAACCAATATTATAAGGAATTTCCCCAGTAATCTGGTCGTACGAGATATCCCTGAAATTTAAGGAACATACAGAATTGAGTGCAATGCGACATGTAAAGGCAACAAGGTACAAGATGGACATGCTTTAAGAAACATACAGGATTGTTCCTGTAAGGTTATTCCCCCTCACATCACTTTAA